AAAGACTCTTCCTAGTCCTGTCTTTCAGCCTACGGTGCCCTTCCGTGCTCTGAGTGAGGCCTGCCTTGGTTTCTTTCACAGCCTTTCACGGTCCGGGCTTTGTTTAAACGTATCCCTAGGTGTCTGGCTCTTTTATTAGGTTATTGTAAAAAGAACTGTTCCCTTCGCGTCATGAGTGGCAGTCTGTAAAAACACCACTGCTTTTATACGTTGACCTCATCTCCTGGAATTGTGGATGACCCTCCACACACACACACAAACACACACACACAGCTCTTACTACTTATTTCTTGATGGCTCTGATTTTCCTGGTAAGGCCTTAAGAGAAGGTACAGAGAGCAGGGCGTGGAGAACATGCCTGTGATCCCAGCATGGGAGGACCTCAAATCCAAGGCAAGACTGCTTCAGAAGGCTGGAGGCAGTGTGGCAGGGCTTGTTCCCTGAGGCCTCTCTTCTTGGCCAGCAGGTGGCATCTTTCCCCCAAGTCTTCGGGCGATTGTCCCCAGTGAGCACCTCTGCACACTTATCTCCTATTGGGCATTCTTCCAATTGGGTAAGCATGCTCTACGGGCTTTGTTTTGTCTTAATCAAGCCTCATTCATAGCTTAGAGCCGTACTCTGAGACACTAGAGCTTCTTGAATTTTCTTCAGGTGTTTGTTTCTGTTGCTTTGGTGGTTTTTGTTTGTTTGTTTTTTCTTGGCAGTACTAGGGATTAAACCTACACCCTTGTGCATATTACCACTGAGCTACAGCTACAGCCCTGTATATGTTTTTATGTGTCTATTTTTTCTACTTTTGCTTGTCAAGACAAGATCTGATAATGTAGCCTAGGCTGACTTGAAGCTGCTGCATGACCCAGGCTGGCCTTAAATTTATGATCATCCTGCCTCAGCCTCCTGAGTGCTGGAATCACAGGCATGCACCACCTTGCCCAGCTACCTCATCTGAAATAAGGAATCATATCAGACAATAACATTTTGCTTTATGACATAAGTAAACAGGCTGGCTGAATTCTGACAGTGTTTCCTTTCACCCAGAGACAGATCCTGTGTTGATGCAGTTTGGTAGGGAAGAAAGGCTGCTTGTTTTCTTTGTGAATAAAGACTCTGATAGAGACAGGCTGGGAGTGCGGGTGCTGGAAAGCGGGATCGCAAGGGGCCAGGCAGACAACAGCGAGAGGGCCCTGCAGCCTGGGCACCAGCAGGAGGCTGCGCCTGCCACTTGTAGTCCTGGAGGCAGCCGTGGTGCCCGAGGGATGGAAGAAGGAGCGGCAATTCTGTAACACTTACATGTTACGAGACACGGGATATTACATGCCGGATTCCTGATACCCAATTTGTGAGAGCCACAGCTGACACTGCACACAGAGGTCCCCCTCAAAGTGTAAGAACCGGACTCTCCAAGGATCCCAGAAGGCCAAAGAGGAAGAAGGCAGTGTGTGTGTGTGTGTGTGTGAGAGAGAGAGAGACAGACAGAGAGAGAGAGAGAGAGACAGACAGACAGACAGACAGACAGAGAGACAGACAGAGAGAGAGAGAGAGCACTCAGTTCATAAAGGGTTTGCCACGTTGGCATAAGGGCCTGAGTTTGAGCCTCAGCATTCACATATAGAACCAGGTTTGGTGGCCTGTGCTCATAATCTCATCTCACCCTGGAGGGCAGAGACCCGAGGATTCCTGGACTTGCTGGTCAGCCAGACTAGCTGAACCTGCAAGTCCCAGGTTCCAACGAGAGACTTCATCCCAAAAATCAGGTAGACATTCCTGAAGAACGAGACTTAAGGTTGATCTGTGGCCTCCACACACACTCTCAAGTGCGTGTGTGTATACACACACACATACACACAGACTCACACACACTCACACATACACACTCATAAACAGACACATCACACACAGACACACTCACACAGACACACAGACACACACAGACACACTCACACAGACACACTCACAAACAGACACATCACACACAGACACACAGACACACTCACACAGACACACTCATACACACATAGACACACACTCACACACACACAGAGACACATCACATACTCACACAGACACACTCACACACAGACACATCACACACAGACACACTCACACACACAGATACACACTCACACAGACACACTCACACAGACACGCTCACACACACTCACACACACATAGACACACACTCACACATACATACACACACAGACACATCACACACTCACACAGACACACTCACACACACAGATACACACTCACACAGACACACTCACACACACACACACCAGCTAGCCCTGCACAGCACCAGCTTAGTGACCTTTCCTTCCCTGTCCATTGTGGGTGTGGCCTGAGGCCTTGGCCTTCTGAGATGTGTCAAAGCCTTATTAAGAATGTCTGGGTCCCCTGGTAGCTCAAGTTTTCCAGGAGAGTTGGGTAGGAAGGCAGCTGATGCCCTTCATCTTTCTTAAATCAAGAATCCAGAGGCAAAGCAGAAAAGCTGTGAAGGACTCTGGTCCCACACCTGCCCATGGCTACCCCCTGGCTCCCTGAGTCCACTGCAGAACGAGCCTCAGCTGGCCCGTAACCACGAGCGAGCTGTTAGGTGGGGATATGGAATGTTGTCCCCCAACTAAGCACCTTCCGGCGTGCGGCAGACGTGTTTGTGAGACAGCAGCACTTCCCACGGGTGCCTCTCTCAGTAGGTCCCCTGGATGGGTTCTTTGTGTTGCTGTGGGGACCATCAGAGCCACACCTGGAGAACAACGGGCCAAGTCTTCCTTGCCATTGGTTGTCACCATCGAGGGACTCACATGGACTCCAATGCTTAATAAACACGTTTAAGAAGTTAAAGGTTTGTTGCGCGTGTGTTCATGTGTGTGCAGCTGTACACGTCTTTGCACAAAGAAGCCAGCAGAGGGTGCCATGTGGTGCCCAGTTCACAGAGTGATGGGATCCAAACCGTGTCCCTCACAATTAACTGCAGAGCACCGCTCCAGTCCCATAAATATCTGCTGTCTTAGTTAATTTTCTATTGCTGTGGCAAGACCGTGGCCAAGGTGGATGTATGGGAGAGTCTGCCCGGTCGGGACCTTAGGGTTTCAGAGGGTTAGAGCCCATGGCTGTCGTGGCTTGGAGCAGGGCAGCGGCAAGCAGTAGCGGCCGGAGTAGTCCCTGAGAGCTCGTATTTGATCCACCAGCACGAGGCCCAGAGAGCTGATTCAGAATGATGTGAGCTTCTGAAACCTCAGGGTCCACCCTGAGTGACACACCTCCCCCAACAAGTGACAGTCCTCCCAGAACGGTCCCCCCAACTGGGGACCAAACGGTCAAACGTGTCTTTTGGGGCCATTTTCAGCCAGATCACCACATTTTGTTAAGCGGCAAAAAGGAGAGAAGAAGGTGGGGACAGGGTGTAAAGACTGAGCTGACAGTCTGGGAAAGACACATGTGGGGGGTTTGGCCTTACAGGGAGAGTCGTGAGAGACGGGCCTGGGAACGAGGCATTGAGACAACTGGGCTGGGCCTCCAGACTAAGGCAGCATTTCCTGATGGCAAACGGATCTAGGTAGGGTCCGCAAAGCCTGCAAATGTGGCTGGTCCCAAGGTGAGGACACAGAAGGTGTCTTGATGTCTCCAGAGGAGACAGTAACCCCCCTTTCCCCCTTACATATCCCCTTCAACTGACCTAGAGGCTGCAAGCTACTTCCTCAGCCACAAGTCCTGTGACATCCCATCTGACTTCAATAACTCAAGCGGACACAGTTTGCTTAGTTTTACTCTGAGAAGAAGGATTGTGTATGACAACAATGGGAGATAAGCTGGAGGTAGGAGGCGTCGCGGTCCCTGAATTTATGGGAAAGGATGTCTCTGAAATCTACATCAGGAGTGGGGAAAGAGGTTTGAATGGCACTCTCAGGAATGTGCAGGACACTTACACATCCCATAGACAGGACTGGGTCACATAACAGACTCACCTGCAGGCATGTGATGTGACCCAGGAGACTAGGAAGTAACCGCAGTGCTGCGGGCTGAGGAACCCCAAAGGCCATGTTCCAGCCCCTGGGGTCACCTTCTCTTAGGTGCATCTGTTTCAGGACCTTTGGAGCCTGCACATGATCAGACCAGATGGTGGGACCTGTGGCCCTTCAGCTTCAGAAGTCTTTGGAACCTGGTTGGGGATGCACAGGCTTCCTCTCGACTTCCTCCCTTCCTCTCCCACTCCTGGCCCCATGCACGTGCACACACACACACACACACACACACAGAGAGAGAGAGAGAGAGAGAGAGAGAGAGAGAGAGAGAGAGAGAGAGAGAGAGAGAGAGAGAGAGACTGTAGGCCTGTGGTGTGTTTGCCCCCTTCCCCGATTTGCTCCCTGGCTCTGTTTCTTCTCCATTGCTGTTCCAGGGCTCTGATGTCAATTCTCTGCTCTGCCCACCATTTCTGATTATCCAAATCACCTGCTTCTCCAAAGATGTGCCTCCCACCCACCCACTCTCCCGACTTGAGGACTCTAATCTCCTCTCTGCTTCCAACTTTCTGGACCATTCCAGATCCAGTTAGGTTCTATTCCGGCTCCGGAACTGTTCAGCTTCCTCCTGAGCCTGGAGTCTGGGACCAGTGATAGAGGGGGATTCTGCTCTTCTGGGTGTGTTAAGAAAAGAAAAGAAGAGGAGAGGAGGAGAGAAGAGGAGAGGAGGAGAGAAGAGGGGAGGGGAGAAGAGGGGAAGGGAAGGGAAGGGAAGGGAAGGGAAGGGAAGGGAAGGGAAGGGAAGGGAAGGGAAGGGAAGGGAAGGGAAGGAAGCCCGGGGGCCGGGGTCTGGGATGACGACTCCAGGGGGTATCACAGGGGAACCCACCCCGCTCCGCAGTGTTCTCAGTGCTCGCTGTTCCTGCACCCGCACAAGGTACAGCCACCCCCCTGGGAGCCGTAGTGGAGGGAACACAGCAGACTCCAGCCGGCCGCTCCAGCTCCTCCCCTAGACGCCACAGTCGAGTGCAGGGCACCAAGGGAGCTGTGAGGGATCTTGAAAGGACTGTGGCCGCGAGTCGTGCAAGGAAGCACGGGAGTCATGACCCAGCTGCTCCTGGCGCTCTTGGTGTCCCTGGTGTCTGTGGAGCTCGCCCAAGGCTTGGAGACCAGGGTGCCAGGTAAGGGATAGACAGGGCTGGAGGGCGATGGGATGGGGTGGGGTGCGGCCTGCGCTGCCCACCCACCGTCGTCTATTCTTGACCACAGCCCGAAACCTGAGCTGCTTCCAGTGTTTCAAGGTCCAACACCCCAGCCAGTGTCAGCCCATAAAGTGCCAGCCAGACGAGAAAGTCTGCCAGAGCAACGAGGTGCTCATTTACTCAAGTGAGTCCTTCCTCGGGCCTGGAAGGCAGAACTGGGGCCCGACCCTGTACCCACGGGCCCGACCCTGCACCCGCAGGCCCAATGCATCCTGTGGGTGCTGGAACATACGGGAAGGTGTGGTCTGAATTTCGGCAGTTCCTTTTTCTCTCCCAATTGCCATATTTGTTCGTGTGTCACTCCTTCTAGAACTCACCCCGGGACAAAGGCTCTGATGTGACATTGAATTCCCAGATGAACAGGCATGCAAAAACAGAGCCAGCCAACCGGGGACAGGTTTGCCAAGGCTACCCACTCTCGTAGGGGCATCATGGGGTTGTGAAAGCAGTGGCACCTTACGTTAGATCAGGGCTAGAGACTGATGGAACAAAAGCCAACGTGGAAAGGTGAAAATATGAAAATGTCCAGAAACCAGAAGTGGTCAGACAGACCTGTTTTGAGCACAGTCGGGGTGTTGGTAGTTGTTGGACCTAGCTCTAGTTCTCTGGGACAGTGCAGAAGCCTCGGAGCTGGCTCCTCTGGTGAGAGAGCCCTGAGCCTGGATGCAGTCATGCCCACAGTTCAGGCTTCTCCTGCCTCCTTGCTTCCCGAGAATAATGGCTTGAGCTGGCCTAGGACCTGCCCTGGAGCAGTGGTAGGTGTGAGCCTCAGGCAGGGGGTCTTGGTAAGCTGTCCTTTGTAGCTGTGCTCTCAGGCCCTGCAAGCTGCCCAGGGCTGTCTCTTACTGCTGTTTCTCCTGCGTCTCAATCCCTTAGCTTGGTGCTCCACCCCTCAGGCAGCCTTTTGTTCAGTTGCTCTTGAGCCTGAAGGTAATAACTGGTGTTCTGTGCAGGGAGTAGGCTCTGAGGACTACTCCCTTCTGGGTGCTGCCTGTTCTGAGAGGATCTGGTGTTCTCACTGGGGAGGTCTGTGCAGGGTCGAGGCTTCCAAGGAGGTCACGGGCGCTGTCTTCTCTGCTGGAGCGTTCTTGGTCATCCTAAATTCCGTGCCGCCAAGCGACGTACTCTTGGGCAACCAGCTCTTTCCCGCCTTGCGCCCTCTACTCCCCCTCCTGGGCCAGCTGGGGCTGCTGGAGAGGCCCCCACCTCTTTGCTTGTGTCCCAGGCTGGTGGGGACGCTGGGTAGCAGAGCTCCCACGCCTGAGAAAGAACAACCGAAGCTGACTCAGCAAGGCCAGATCCAGTCACCCACACCGGGAGCCCTCGTCCCCCAGTCTCCCATCTCGCTCTGGGTTCTAGGACCATGCGCTGTCTTTTTTTTCTTCTTCTGCAGTTTCAATGAGCAGAATGCAGATCAGCAAGCGCTGCGCTGTCCAGTGTCCCAACACCAACAGTCAGTTTGAGTGGACACTGAACAAAGGAATTCAGGGCAAGATCACCAGGAAATGCTGCTCAAGGCCTCTCTGCAACAGAGCACCTGCCACCCAGCAGAGGTTCGGGGCCCTGCCGAGAAGGATCCTGCTACCGATGGGTCTGGGCCTCTTCTTCACCCTGTGGTGAGGACACCCCTCCGCCCCTGTGGCACCTCAAGTGGCTATCCCGCCTCCATTCCATCTCTGAGGTGGAAGGGAGGGCACCATAAATTCGCTCAGGACCCAGCAGTCTGCTCCCACCCAACATCTTGGCTCCTCGTGGAGACAGACAAGGGAGTATTTCCAACGCAGGCCGCAGGATGCTTAGAGAAAGCTCTTGACCCTTGGCATGCTGCCCAGACTCTGTGAGTGGCAGAACAGACCTGGTGAAGCCAGAGGTGCAGCCACTCCCTGGCCCTGCTCGATCTCCCCCATATCAGATCACGTTCCTGATGGGGTCCAGGCTGAGAAGCACTATGGGGTCCCCTGTTCGTGCACAGGCACTGCCGGCTGTGTCGCTCTCGGCAGAGACAGTAAACCCTCGATGCCCCACAGCCCGACCGCTGCGTCTTCCTTGTCCCGCTTGCCCCAGAGACACATTCCCCTTCCAGCTCTCAGTACAGCCTGCTGTGGATAGAGCAGTCAGGGCCCGGGTGGAACCACCCAGTCAGGGAACAGCCACACGACACATGGCGCTGTCCCCAGAGCCTGAGGCCCAGCACAGGGTGAACACACAGCCCAAGCTCAGATCTGGGGTCCTAGGAGGGCTCGCTGGGAACAGAGTCAGGAGAGCCGCAGACACAGCAGATGCCACATTTGGTTGAAACTTCACTGCAGGAAGTGAGGCCTGTTGAACATGACTGAGTACCTGGCCTTGAAAGGGTTCCTGGGTAAGGGCGTAGGCAGGAGCACAGAGAGGGACTAGGAGACTGATTGGCATCGTAAGGCTGGCCCCACTGAGTGGGCTCTACAGGGCCTGAAGAGGCTCTCTATGAGAACAGGGAGGCTGCTGGCATGGGGCCTTGCTGCGGGGCAGGTCTCTAGCCTTGCTATGACCACGCTGCCGCACAGAAACAACTTAAGGAAGATTTATTTGGCTCACTGCTTCAGTGCGACACTCCCAGCAGTGAGGGCTTGTGGTGAGGCTGTTGACATCACGCTGGACTAGAAAACTGAGAGCAAAGCTGTAACCAGGGTCCAGTCCAGGTGTAGCCTTCAAGGACCCACCCCTACCACCCGCTTCCACCAACTAGACGCCCTTTCCAGAAGGCTCCACAGCCTCCCGAGATAGTGCCACCAGCTGAGGAGCAAGGTTTGCAACCCGAGCCTGCAGGGAGTGTTTCAGATTCAGACTCTAACAGCAAGTGAGCCTGTGGGCGTACATCTGCCCGCCCTGGTCCACACACATCTGCCTCTCTGACCCTGCTCTTCATGCTGCTCCACACAGCTCCTAACAGAGGTGGCAGAGAGGGCACCACACCCCTCACCCCAAGACCCTGCAGCTTCTTCCTAACCGACACCTTGGCTGAGATGGCCTAGAGCCTCTTGGAGCCTCTGGATAGCCCTGAGTCTGGCATCTCTGTTCCCAGGGTCCCTGACAAAAACAAGACTTTCTCTTGCTTTAGTGTTTTGTTTTAAGTAGTTAGGGGTTTTCACACTGAGTTTTAACCCCACTCACTCCCCACAAAGCCAAGCAATAGTGCCGTATCTACTGCTTAGTGGCCCAGGGTAGGAGTCCTGGGGGTTAGGGTTTGGGAGCCTTTGGGTCTCCAGGCCTGGGACATCATGGTTTGTGCTAAGGGGTACAGGTACTGGGAGGACCATCTTGCCATGGTAGGCTGGGTGGCTCCTTGGAGCCCCATTGTCCCATAAAACTAGTGTGTGAGTGCCACCTGGGTCCTGTGTTGGTGATGCCTGTGTTTGAGAGTGACAAGGCCTTTCTCAACCCAGGAACTAAGGTGCCAGACAGTTGACAGTCCCCCAAAGTCAAGCGGAGACAGATGCGTTTGAGTTCACTGCCTCACAGCTGTGATGACTAAGGATACGGACACACCAGTGAACAAAGAGAAAGGAAACCTCACCAAGAAAAGAGCAGGCAACACGCGGGCTCCCGCCATGGGAGAGGAACCGCGGAAGGCACTGGGGGCGCCTTGTCTGGGGAGCTTTTTCTGAGAGTTAGGACTAAGAAGATTAGGGTAATTTTATTGACACAGCATAGGCCAAACCAAGGGCAGGGTTCGCAGGCTCTGCACATGCCTCCCTGGCCCAGCCAGGAGGTAATCACATACTGCTTGCCTAATTGGGAGTGGTCACACATCAAATCCCCTTCCGTGAGGCAGAGCCAATCACAGAAGGTGAAGGTAATGCTGGTCCCCACCATTGGCTTTTGTTTACTGGTCACTGATAAAGCTGTTCTCTTTGTTCCCGTGTTTACATGACCAGATTGTAGTTTTACGATAGGCCCCTTTCCCTTTGCTACCTGTAGACAGCTAACTCCTGTATCTCTGGGTTAGTCTGGGGTCCCTAGGGAAGCTCTCTCACCTAACCTCTGTATCAGTTACTCCATACCCTTTGGAATTGGGGACTAAGTTCCTCTTCTGGAACCTGGGCTTCAGTCTTTTGAGGGTATCCTTTAAGCTGGAAACCAGAGACTTACCGAATAAGTGAAATTTTAAGTTGGTGATGGGTCTGCATGGATGGCTGAGTCTGTGAAGTACTTGCTCTATGTGAGGACCTCAGTCTGATCCCCAGACCCATGAAAAATGCTGGCCATGGCAGCATGTGTGATAACCCTGGCACAGAGACGGCAGATCCCTGGGGCTCGGTGGCCAATCGGTATGCCTTGTTAGTGGACTCCATCTCAAAGGAAGTGTTCCTGAAAATGACGTGAGGTTTTCTGGCCTCCGCGTGCAGATATAACTCACACGCACATGAACACATACATGACAGTTAGGAAAGAAAGATGGAGATGAGCAATAACTGGGATAATCCTCAAAGTATGGCAGGAACTCTTGGTGGCAAATACACGCTAATTGAGAACTGAGCCAGCAGCTCAAAAGTGACCACGGAAGGAACAGTCGAAGGCCCATGAAGGGTGTGGAGCCTGCCCTGTAGTGAAGCCACTGTCTCCCCTACAACTGCTCTCCCTAGTACTTCCTGCCCTACCAAAATCTCATCACTGTCTCAGTCTCTCTTAGACCCCAGACACTCTCCTGTTACCTGGACCAGAGCCATGTGACTTTCGTGGGGCCACAGTCCAGGCTGGCTATGAGCATCCAACACGACAGGGCAGGACCATGTTGGCATTCAGGCAGCTCCTTCCCTTCCCTGAAGAGCAGGCAGCGGGGTCGCCTAGGTGGTGGGTCAGAAAAGTAGGGAGAAGCTTCCTCAAATGCACCGCAAGCCAGGGTTGATGGCATTTGCTCCCCTTGTCTTCCGGTGCAGGTTTGAGTTTTGCCCTTAAGTCTGTAGTCCTTTGACTTTGGCGAAGGGTGGAGCCCCACGGATTGTCTCCATTCTGTTCCGTTATCTGAGTGTCTACCCTGACATCTACACATGAGCCCCCAGTTCATTCTTCAGCACTGCCTGGGTGTGCCAGCCTGTGAGACTCTGGGATGGCTTCCCCACGGCAGGAAGAAGGCAGGCAGGCAAGAAGGCAAGCTCTCACCTCAGGGAAAGGCGTAAAGTGTTCTAGAATCAGTACACCCCAAACAGATGAAATCTAAAGAAACACATGTATTATACACCTGACGTCATCATCGCAAGCTACAGCTCTTTTGGAGAGATGAGAAGGTGTGATATGGGAAGTGGCCGTGGTCATGATGGTCCCGCACAGAGCGGTGGTGAGTGTGGCACGGCATTCCGAGCCGATCCAGAGCCAGGCCTGGTATGGTCCTGCCCTAGACAAGAGACACCGGCTGGACAAGCAAATGAAAAGAGACCCCGCACCGCTGAACGAAGGCAGTGTCAGGGAATGTGGGAGAAGCAGGAAGGATCTAGGGTCGCGCCACATTTTGTGAGTTTGATACTTATACCGCAGTTATGTGAAAAGTTGGTGTTGGAAACAATGAGCATAAAGTACAGGATAATTCTTACACTTTTTTTCCGACTTCTGTTTTTAGAGATAGGGTCTCATGTAGCCAAGGCTGGTCTTAAATTTCTGATCCTCCTGCTCCACCCAAATGCTGGAGTTGTGGATATGGGACTCTGCACCCAGTTTTCTTTTTTTTGCAACTTTTTTTTTTTTGGCTTTTCGAGACAGGGTTTCTCTGTATAGCCCTAGCTGTCCTGGAACTGGATCTGTAGACCAGGCTGGCCTCGAACTCACAGAGATCCACCTGCCTGTGCCTCTTGAGTGCTAGGGATTAAAGTACACCCAGCTCTTTTTCTTTTCTTTCTTTCTTTTTTTTTGCAACTTAAAAAAACCTAAAATATTTCAAAATAGAAAATGAACCCCTCAGCTGAATATTAACCTCTGTTCTTCCCCATAAGCACGGCTCCCAGCCCCCAGCCCTCTGGACAGAAGCCAGATCTTCTCACTCATCCCTTAAAGCTACTTTGAAGTTCTCTTGGAGAGTGTTGCTTGGATTGAAATCTGTGTGAGACTGCATCTACCTTTTTCACCATGAATTTCCAGCTTAAAACTGGGAGGTGGTAAAACCTCATGGAGGGCTAGAGGGGGAGACTGGGGACAGAGATAAGATCTGGACGCTGAGGGAATCACTGAACTGAAAGGGACAGCAGAAGCTTCCTTCTCGGCACACCCGAGTGAGTGCCGGGCGGGCGGGCGGAGGGGCACTCAGTTACCTGCACAGCTAGGGCCTGAGGGGCCCACCTGACCAGTTTGTTCGTGGAAAGTGAACTTGATAAAACAAGCTGTCCTCATGGTCCTCACTACTTGGCCCCACTCCTTCAGGGCTGGGTGGGGACACTGCTGATCCCAGCCATCACATCTCAGGTGGGATTGGGAACCACAGCTCAGGGTCTGTGGTCTGCTATGGGAAGAAGGGCCCAGTGCTGGTCCCAGGTGCTGTCTGACCCGGCTGTCCCTCCTACCAGGCCCTAGGGGGTACAGTTTAAGAACTAAGGGAGCCTCCTGGCACCTTCTGTCCTCTGCTAGGGCCCAGGCAGGCTGGGAAGGGAGTTGTCTTACGGTACACTGACCAACAGAGCTCCGGCCTGAGGCTGGGTCTGGGGGTAGGAGGAGGGCAGGGGGTTGCAGGTATGGCCTGACCACACACATCATGAAAGGGCCTGGGGGCGAGCCCCAGTGTGCAGAGAAAAGAGAAGGCTGCGGGGGTGAGGGGTTGATGTCTTTGGGATGTGAGGAAAAGCCATTCCATGGAGAAGCACTCCCTTCGTGGACACCCAGGCAGATGTTCAGGATTCAGCCACGTTTGGTTGCATGGCCCTGAGGGGAGGTGGGCGTGTCACCTTAGCTCACGGGTGTGGATGTCAGCTTCAGGTCCCAAGATGCTCAGGACTCAGGGTAGGGTGACCATGAGGGAGCTGTGGCACCCTCAGATCGCAGCCTGCCCTCCCAGGA